CTCTGGCCAGAGGTTCAGAAGTGTGAAGCATAGGACCACTAGACTGAAAAACTCTTTCTTTCCCTCTGCCAGACTCCTAAACAGCTGAGGAGTTTATTGCCAGGAAATACATCATGTACTGTTTACATTCTGTTTGTACATTGACTACTGCACATGCTGCTCCCATGCAGCATGCATTCTCCATTATATTCTTATATATTTTTATTATATTGCTGCTTAAAGTGCCTTAGATTTTGTGTTATCTACTTTATATTTCATTTGTATGTTGTGGCATTCATGTGGACAGCAAAGTGAGAATTTCATTGTACAGGGAAACACATTTCCTAACAATGCATATGGCAAATAAACACTTTGAACTTGAACTCATTTCCACCACCAGCACATCCAGGTCAAATGTTTAGGTGTGTGCATCTCCACCTGCTGAGTAAACTGAATATATCCCATCATCTCAATGACCTAGCAGAGCACTTCTACCATCCAATTTGTATGAGGAAGAAAAAATCCCAAGTGTAATGGCAAGAGCAATAAAAGTATAGTCTTAACAAGACTATTACCACCTACGTTGCTATGGTCTGATATTCCTGAACAATTTTAAGGGTATAATATTATGTCTGGTAGCATTTCTCACCTTCCTGTCATGGAACATTCATACCCTAACCATTAATCCAAAGCCAAGAGACATCCCACATTAAACCTTGAGTTGACTGCACAAACAGAAATAAACACACGAGTTTCTTTTATTACATTTATTCCACTCGCAGAGGGGACAAATTTAGTTTTCATCAACATTGACTGTCTGCAGACCTGTTGGAATAAAAACATGGAAATTTTAAATGAAATGAAATCTGTTTATTGCTTCATTAACTGAATGACTATCAGTGAGCAGCACATTTACCTTTGCATGTGGTGACAGGAACATATGTGACCAGGGTGTACAGCTTGTTGGGGGAGTCCTCGTCTTCATTACGCTTCCTGGACAGCCGCACACGTATCCTGTACGGCACGTTCCTGCACAACACGAATAACACCACTGTGACCATCTTAACTAAATACAAGCTGTTTAATATGCTGTTATCATGGCCAGCAGATGCGTCATGCCTCCAATTACATGTGCATGTTGGAGTTTGAGGGCCATTCCTCAATGTAAAAAAACTGCCCTAACAAAACACACACTACTTGAAGACCACAGTATTATGCTGTGAGCTCAGCCCAACACTTAAGATTTTGTGATGAGAATGATTTGGTCCTAACTGGGATTGGTGCTTCCTCAGATCCCAGTCTCACGCTTCTAAAGTTCAAACTGGTGACAGTCAGTACCTGCTCACTAAAAACTGATTATGGCATTTCACAGAAATCCTGCCCCTGTTGCATAAAGTAGAACAAGCAGGACGATATAGTTTTATACTTGTGGGCAGTCATTACTTTGGTTTGATTACAAAAAACAACTGTCTATCATGGATTGCTCTGACGCAATCATAGTCAGGCCAGCCTGACAATATGTTTTGCTCAGATATGAATATCCAGAGTTTTCTGTCTCACCTGACACCCTTGCTCCACACTGCCTTGTTGAGGCGAGTGTCAATGCGCACATCGGGAGTCCCCATTTCCTTCACGGCAAACTTGCGGATCTCCTTAATGGCGCGGGGAGCTCTCCTCTTGAAACCACTGCAAGAAGACAGCAGATTGCATTTTTCAAATAATACCAATACTTGCTTGCATCAGTCCTATGCACACATAAGCTTTAACTTTTGTGATTTCATTCACTGACCACTCAGAGTAAACGTGTGACGGGCTTCTAGCAGCTGTTTCTGCACAAACCTAGAATATCAGTGTGATGGGCTTGTTAAATGGTATATCTTAACATAAAAGATCAGGATAGAGTTCGTCACTCAGGAGTCTGTTTAAGGCAATGTTTTTCACTGCCAGTCACTGACAAACAACTGGATATCTGATAAAACTACTGACATTAATGCACTTCCAGGGACCGCTATAATCTTGCAGTACTCACATTCCATGGATGCGCTTGTGGATATTGATGGTGTACTCTCTGGTCACCACCTCGTTGATGGCTGAACGCCCCTTCTTCTTCTCTCCTTTCTTAGTTGGGGCCATCTATAAACAACACACTGACGTTACTGTTGGGAGAATATAAATACGCACCACAATAAGCCGCTTTAGAAATAGCATTATCATATGATTATATATTGAATAGTATATTCAAACTTTAACCCGACACCATTTTGCTACACCAAACAAAATCGTGAAGCTTAGCATAAAGCTCGTCTTGCTCTAAAGGCGTTACTTAACCTGAGTTAATCTACATGCTAACGAAAAAAGTAATTGGCATTTATGTTAAAGTAACTCAGACTGGTACCGACAGAATTTTTTTTAAAGCTCTTTTCTAATTCAGACAGAACGAGCACAAAATAGCCACAGTGGCTGGAACTGCAAGTCTCTCCGACTGAGTCAATCGGACTGCTACCGTCTACCATCTCTTAATATTTTAGTCTTTCAAAATATTCAGCCACCTCCAAAAACTCACATATATCACAAATCATCACCAAAGTGTGAATATACGATGGATATATGGTGAATTACGGCTTTAATGTAGCACGATGGTATTAGATTGAACATATTCTAACTGCCGATGAAAATACTCACATCGACTCGTAAATGTGACGGAAGTCGGAAGGACAGACCGAAGGCCGAGAATTGTGGGTAAAGGAAATCGGTCCGTTTTGTATGAAGCCCGTAAACAACTGTAGTGCAGTGAAGGTTCCTACTTGTTATCTCGTCCTGTTCAACACATACTGTGGAACAGAACCGAATGCCCTATGATGTAAACCAGAGAAAGAGAAAATAAAATTAAATCCCGAGAAACTGGTTGTTCTATAACATTTAAAAACGTTGTACCATTTGAAACATTTTGACATAATGAAGACTCCTTGAATTGTACTTTTTTGCATTATTAGACAAAGCACATGAACAAAAATACATTGTATAGCTAGTATTTATGACAAAGGGTTTCTGTTCTACCAATGCCAGATTTTTTTGCTTTGGAATACATACTTTGTGATATCTAGTAAGGATTTTTGTAATTCTGCATTTATTTTACAGAAAAATAATAATGTAAAATCAAATATCATTACTTGCAAATTTTAAAATTGATCTTGAACCTTTAAAAAAAAAAAGTAGTATGGAGTATGTCAGTGCAGTTTCTCAATGATCCAGGTCATAGTAAGCTAAAAAAAAAAAAAAAAACAAGTCCAGATGATTTTTTTTTTCTATATTTTTTCAATGTAGTACGCAGTACTTTCCAGCATCATGGACTTAAAAGATGGTCGGCTGTAACATCAGAGCTTGACCTCTCCATTATCTGTAACATCACTTAGATTTCAAGTCATAATTGCATGGTTGGGAAGAGGCATCATGTTGTATCCAGAGCTCTAAGATCGATGCATCTTCCATTCTTATTCTGTTCTTCAAACCAGTCAGTGCAACACTGAAGCTTGTTTGTCCATTAAATTTATGTCCCACCACTCACAGTACACACAACCTGCTCTTATCAAGTGTCACTTGCACTAGGTGTTGATATGAACACATCCCGGGGCTTCAGTTTATACTCCTGTACAAGTCTTTTTATTGTGACTCTTGGTCAATCTGTGGGACACGAGACAAAAAGTTCAAATTAATTATCTTCAGTCATTTTTATCTAAGCAGTCTAGTGTCTTTTCTTAATGGGATCACTTTGGCTCCTTTTTGGATGGAGTGGGCTTCAGTGGGCTGGTGAACGTTAAGGAGAGAGGTTCCACATGGCAGTGATGGATGTCTGGTACTCTGCAGTCTATAGTGTGCTGTGCACTCACTTCAGTTCATTTCGAGGAGACATTGCCAAACCATTCAAAAATACATCAAACAAACAAACCACAACAAAATACTTTCAATAAAGGAATAGTTTGGCAGTGCTTATTGATGAGAAAAGTTCTTTCAAGTCCCTTCAGTACGTTTCAGAGTAGTTGGTCAGTAACACTGCAGCAAATGCTATAGATTTGCTCTGCAGATATTTTGTGATATGATATAAAGAAAAAGAGCAATAGCATCAAATGTCACAGTATTTGAAGGCTGAACAGTCACTTCTTACAAAGCAAAAGCCTCATTACAAAAATCAACATCTAACCATTTTAATGCACAGTTAGAGTAACCAATGCACATCATACAAAAACAAAACATTTGTCTTTTGAACTTGGTTAGGGAGGTGACACTGACAAGTAAAAAGCTGCTCTAAAACATTGTAATGCACAAAAAAAGAAATTTTAGGTGTGTTTTATGTCTCTCATTCATCATTTGTTACACACCACCATAGGCTAGAATGTCCAGTAGTCTACGGCACAGCATTTGCAGATCACCCAAAACATGTAAAGTATAACTGACAAATTCTCAATGCTGCTGTTTCTTTATTTTTTTCGTGACTAACAAGGCTAACTATGCAATAAAATGGGATACAGGGAGACGGAGAGTAGGAGGCTAGAAGAAGTAAAGGCGTAGAAGCATTCGCTTTCATTTGTTTTAATCACAGAGCCTGTTTTCTCTCAGGGCACACACACCTCAGCCTGTGCTGAGCTGAGCTTGCTACTACCACCAGGCGCAGCGACTTCGGCTGCCGGTGCCGACACACTGTCCGACCTTTCCTGGGCTGAAGCCTGGCCAGCTACAGTCCTTCTGAAGAGACGAACGCTCATCTGCAGCAGCTCATTGTCTACCACAGGTGTAGTGGGATACTGCTTCGTTAGGCCCTGAAGAAAAGAGGGCACAGATAAAACAACTCTCAGAAGTGGAGGAGGGAAGTTACAAAGTACTTCATCACTGTACTTAGATTTTTCAGGTATCCGCACTCTATTAGTATTTTTTGACAACCTTTTACTTTTATTTCCTACATTTTAACACAAATATATGTACTTTCTACTCCTTACATTTTCAAAGCAGGATCGTTACTTTTAGTTTAGTTAGTTATCAATTTTTATTTTGCACATGCGCAGTTGAATCATGCTTACTTCAGATGCTGTAAAAATGTATGATTATTTGAAGCTCTGGGGCAACATTTCTAACAAATGTCGTGGTCTTGTGTTTCATAACGAAGAAACATGCCACCCAGTGTAGCAGTGTGTTTCAGTGATGTGTTTGTAATTGTTTTTGAACAACAATGGAAGTCTATGTCTATGGCACAGACGAATAAGGTGATCCAGGTTGGAGGTTGACAGAATTTAAACATTAGTAGAGGCACTTCATTGTAAATGACTGGATACCCTTTAAAGGGTTAAACAGACCTGAAATGTGTTCTTGTTAATCTTAATTGCTTTTGGCATATTTTTTATTTTATTTGAAGTTAGAATGGTTTAATAATCTTGGAAATATATTAATAAGACACAAGGTTAAATTAGGTTTATGCAGAAACAGCTGCTAGAAATGACCTTCGAAGGGCTTTTTATTTCTGTGCTTTGTGTTACATAGGTACAGTATCTGGACTACTAGAGTAACGAAATGTGTATACTATTGCCATCTCTGCTGAAAAATTCAAACCTCATGAGTTAAGGTCATTTAGTCAGTGATTGGTTGACATCTACCTTGTCATTTTTTAGCAGCTGTCGACGGATGGCGAAGTCCCTGCGGGCACACAGGGCCTTACAGCAAGGCCCCAGGTTGCTCAGTAAAGTTGCTCTCTCCACTCGTCTGTTCAATGCTGCCATGTTCAGGGCCCCCAGGTCGTGCTCAAACAGCTTGTCAGCATCTGGCAAGACAGAGGCGAAAAGCTATTTGGGTGGACCACACAAAACAGATTAAATTCAACATAACAAAAAAAAAAAAATCTAAAATTCAATAAAACTATAGAATAATGAGAAATCACAGAATAAGTTAAAATAAACAAGAAAAGCAAAAGGGACAAGCACTGAGGTGCAAACGAACATATGACTGACAAAACAAGTGAGTTTATGGTGTGATGAAAGTCTCACCTTTGGGGTCATCCAGCTCAGACTTGCACACCTCTTTAACTTTCTCCAGGAGCTCAGGCCCAGCAAGTCGTTTGGAGATGCCCGCCCTGAGAAGCACGGCCCCTGGCGTGAACCGGAGCAATGCAGCCCCTGCTGCCCGGGGTTCCTGTTTCTGTTTGGGCATCAGGCTGGACCAGTCCACATCGATCACATCCAGAGGACCTGTCAGACATAGCACTGGGAGTTTAATTTTACAATGCAACAGCTGTTTTAAACAAAAATATGTATACAAGTGTTTCTGATGATACAACTAATGAGTTTCAGGTTTAGAATTTTCCCAATATCCTTAAACAGTTAACCTGGAATGAAACCAATCAATTCATCAAGCAGAAGCAAATATAAATGTCCCAACTAAATATGGATAACAAAAATGACACTGCACAATAGTCTACTATGAACGTTCTCCTAGGGCTGTACGATAAATCTTTTTGTGAGTGTGATTTAGATCCCTGTGCGATCTCAGTCTCAAGTGACAAGGATTCTACTGTGTTTGCATCAGCAGGTAGATGCCTTGCATTAATCCAAGCGCTCCCTTTTTCTCATTAAGCTGCATTAACCAATA